AGCAACGACTGTCAGGGCAGTGAGACCACCCTGTGTGCTGCCATAATGGGGGTGCGTGTCATTATGCATTTGTCCAGACCCACAGGATGCGCAGCAGCACGCGTTGTACGAGCACCTAACATGAGCTTCTGTCTTTGGGTGGTAATGATGTGTCACTGTAGGATTGCAACAAATGTACCGCGCTGCCGTGGGACGTCGAGTGGGGAGCCTCTGTGTACGTGGGATAAGGGGATATGGGAACTTTCTGTACTTTCTGCTCAATTTTGCTATGAACTAAAACTGCTCTAAAAAATAATTATTAATCACATTTACAAATTTTAAATTTATATTTAAGAAATTTAAATTTACATTAAAAAATTTTATATTTACATTTAGAAAAAGTCGAGTTACTTTGACGGAGGCTGTGGCCATGGAAGGAGGAGCACAGAGAGAGGTGAGTCCTGTCTGGCCCTCATCCCTCGGGTGTTCCCTGAGACCTTGGGACTGCAGGACTTGGAGGAACACCAGAGACCTAGACGACAAGAGCTAATGCCTTAGTAAGGCAAGCAAAGTGTCCCACGGTCAGGCCAAGCTTTCCTTTCTGGCTTATTTCTTGTAGCTCCCCAACACCTTGCATTCCCCATATTCTGCACGTACAACCAACGTTTCCCCAAGTACCTCCTGCTCCAGGGGGTCTCCCTCCAGGCCATCGCTCATGTTGCTTCCTGTATCTCGAATTTTTCACCCTCCTTCTCCACCTCCTCCTCCTCTTGATGACTCCCTTCAAGTCTCAACTAAGCAGCATCTCCCCTGTGAAGCTGTCCCACACCCTCCAGGAGACCTGCCTCACGCTGGCTTCACCCTGCACTCTCCATTGCGGCATCTGTCTAAGGTATTGCCCGTCTTTGTGTGCCCAACTCCTGCTACCCTGTGAGCAATTTGAGAGCAGCGTTCTTGACCCTTTCACCTTGGGATCCCCTGTAACTAGCACAATGCTGGCATCCTGAATGTTTGCTGAGAGTGAATGAATGGATGCACAAATTCTACTCTTCCTTTCTCAGAAGATGATCCCACCTCCTACCAGACGGGAATGATTTTCAGTCACTCTTTGGTGGCTCTACTCCTTCTCCATCAGTTTCTTTGACTTTGTGGCTTGATAGCAGTGGTCTGTGTATTCACAAACCAGGCCAGCCACTGCAACCCACACGTGGGTTTGGCCACTGAATTTTTTCCCCATTTCTCTTGTTGGCCAAGTTGTGTTCCTTCAGAGGTATGTTCAGTTCATCCTCGAGTTATTTCACCTTTCTGTTCCCATCTTCACATGCTCCTAGTTTGTCAAAAGGAAGCTTGGCAGGGCCAGAAATTCCCAGCCTGTCCATCTCGGATCGAGAAGGAGGTCAGAATTGTTAGCTTTAACTACGACCTTCAGGATATTCCAATAAAAGACATCTGTAGTCATGTGATTGCTTGCAACAGTCAAGACTTAATTTCCAAAGCCGCGGTACACGTGGGCTGGGCCTTTGCTGACATCCCACACCTGCAGCACAAGCCCGGCTCCACCCGGATTTGACAGTGGGGGTCTGCAGGGCCCAACATTATCTAAGGCTGGTGCGTTATTCCTGTCTATGAATTTTTTTGTCTCCTCTGGCTTACAGAGGCAGCTCAGAAAAGTTCTCAAAGAATGCTTATTCAAGCTGTCAAGCTATGTCACCCGTTTTGAATGAAGCCAGTCAGCCCCGCAATCTTCCTTGTTTTCTCCTGTTTTTCACGCAGTGTCTGATCACAAGTGTTCAGGCTCTCAGAAAGACTTTAAGCTCAACTCAGGAGTTGCTGCTCCTGGATCATGTCTGTTTCACAGTTTGCCCAGATACCTGCAGGTCACATGCATTGGGTTTTTAAAAAACTGCAGCCTGCCCTCTGGAAATTCATTTATAAGTGGCACTTCATGGACACCTGGATTTTTTATAGTCTTAAGGGCTTTAGGTTGAGTTTTCTATGTATTTTTGACTAAATTATCTTCCACCATAGATACTGACTATGCCATAGTTGGTCAATGATTTTTCACTACATTTATTAATTTATATTTATAGGTAGTTTCTTTCAATAATGAATAGTGAATAATTATTTACCATAAAGCACATTCTCAAAAAAAACTAAGGTCACATTATTCCTCATAATGAATCTCCAGGGCCTTTCAAATACAAGTAAATGGAAACAAGATCACAGCAACAAATGAAGCAAATGTCAAATTCCCTTAGACTTATGGTAAACAAAGCTCACGCCAACCTCCCAAATCAGATCTTTGGAAGAATTCAGGCCCCAATGACCTTCAACATATTTGCAATATGGTGAAGGGAGGCAGAATTAGTTGCCACCATCTTTTATTCATTCACTATCATTCCTTCGCTGGTCTCCACACTTCCATTAAGCAGGGGTTGGGAAGCCCTCCCCCAAGCTCCACACTCACGTCATCCGGCCCCCACGTGGCGGTCACTTACCCACTCCTAGTTACTCCCTCTTATTCTTTGAAAATTTTAGTTCAGGCTCGCTGTCCAATATTAGTTTTGCCAGATTTTTAGTGATTTCAATGACTCCAAAGATAATCTTCCCTGTACCTTTATCTCTCAGTTTCTCACCCTCTTCTTCTCTACTGACCTTGTCTTCATACAACCTCAGCCACTCTCTCCCATTGGACACACCTTACACTATGTGGCCACCAATAGCTGAACCCCCCATAACTGGATCTTGAGCACCTCTTTCTATCCTTCCAGCTTACTGTCTCTATTGCTCTTACTCCAACAATCCTTTGGTCCCTCTGGAGGTAAAATTCATTGATCCTACCCACTTTCCACTGTCCCGCAACCTCCTCATTTTACTCCTGGCTCATTTTCCTGGCTCCAGTCCTCTTTTTCCTCGAAGTTCAGTTTAAACTCCAAGGTCCATTATTACAATCACCCCTTTGCATAAACTCTCTGCTTCTTTTCCTCTCTTTTTCATCTTATACCCCTGAAAAACTCCACTCGAACCTGCTGAACGTGGCTGGAGGAAAAACACATAACTGTGGAGATGGCTTCACTTCAGATTTACTAGCATGAATCTCAAGTAGGTCTTTAATGACGTCTGGCCACTCTGTTGCATTCCCCTGGTCCAGTCACTCTTCGTTTCTCCTAGACATTCTGTCTCTCCTCAGACTTTTAACACCTCCTTCCCATCCTCACTAACAGCTGATGACCTTGCTTCTGACAATATAGAAACAATAGAGGAGAATTTCTGTAAGATATCACTGCCACCACCACCATCCCGTCACCCTGCCTAGTAGCCTCACAGCCCGTGTAGTCTGCCTCCTTTCATGTTACTCTCTTCTTGTGTCCTCAAAAAATAATTCCAAGGATTTTTCTCTTTTCTTCTACTGCATCATTTCTCCAAAGGATTTCCCCATCAGCATGTAAATATGCTATCATTTCTTCCACGTGTAAAAGTACCCTCTCTGACTGTCCTTGTCCATCCAGCTGACACTCCATTTCTCTGCTTGTCTTTACAGAAATAGTCATCAAAAAAGTAGCTGCCAGCCTTTCTCTTTCCATGCTCCCTCGAACCCACTCCAAGCGTGTGCTAGCCCCTCATTCCACCGACACTGATCATTTCAAAGTCATCAATGACTTCCATGTTGCTAAATCTCACGGTCAATTCTCGGCCCTCATCTTGCTTGAGCGATTAGCAGCATTTGACAGGGCCGGTCGCTGCATCTTCCTTGAAATGTTCTCTTGACTCGGAGTCCAGGGCCCCGTGCTCTCCTGGTTCTCCTCTTACCACACTGGCTGCTTGTTTTCAATTTTCTTTGTTGGCTTTTCCTCATTTCCTCCAACTTCTCAGTGGACTTCCCAGGTCTCAGACCATGCACTTCTGTTTTCTATACTGTCTGTACTTACTCCCTTGGTGTTCTCGCCATCTCACAGCTTAAACAGCTTAAACTCCCATGTCATCACGTATTCAGCCCAGATCTCTTCTAAACTCTAATGTGTGTATCCACTTGCGTACATGACTTCTCTTGGATGTATAATAGGTCTGTCAAACTTAACATATCCAAAATCAATCTCCGAATCTCCCTCCTCCCTAAGCCTCTCCTCCTTCATTCTTCCACGTCTCATTTTCTGGCAACTCCATCCTTTATGTTGCTCAGGCAACAAACCTTAGAGTCATCTTTGGTTCTTCTCTTTCCTCTTCCATTCCATGTAGAATCTAACAAAATATCTGCCAGGCTCTACCTTCAAAACACAGCCATGATCTGACTACCTGTCACTCCTTCCTCGGCTACCATCCTGGTCTAGACCCTCTTAGGTTACAGAAATAGTTCTGATCATGTTGAATGGCCTGAACGCCAAAGCTGCTTTTTCCCACATCTGGGAGATATTTAGAGGCCTCCCCAAGTCTCTCACTCAGATTTTACCGTTTCAGAGTCATCCTTATGCTGTTAGATTTCCCATCTCTACTTAGTTTTCTTTAAATATTTACATTTTCTGGGAGGGATAGAATTTTTATTTATGTGTGTGTGTGTATATATGTGTCACCTTGTCCCCAAAGTACTTAAAATAGATTATAAAAGTACATAAAATACATAACAATGTAGAAAAGTAAGTGAGGAAATTAGGCAAAGGGAAAATAAGGAGAGAACAAATTCAGATGCAGCTCCAGGTGAGGCGAGTATACAGAGGCATGCCGGAGGCCCGCACACCTGCTAAGTGGGACAACACGTGAGCCATGGCCTCCACGGTGTGCTTTAACATCAGGTTTCTTTCTGCTTGACGGGCACCGTGAACCATCATGAACACACTGGCTCCTTGGGCTTGAGAGGGCTAGGGCTTGTTGGGCGGGAAAGGCTCAAAAGGGGAAGTGGGGCAATGGGGTCAGGAAGTCCCTTCTCGCCTGAGACTGGGTCCCAAACTGCACCCCACTCACTCCCTGGAATCCTCCCCAATCTCCCACCTCCCAGCGCACCCCCACATGACACCCCAAGTACTTACCAAGACCCAAGCACGAGACTCGGAGTCCTGACTTCCCAAGATTCCTGGAATAAAAATAAAGCAACACTTGGTGATCCTTTCTGCAGCTGAAACTCTGCACAAGTAACTGAACATCGCGTCTCACTTTTGATGACACTGCTCTTGCGCAGAGTCGTGGGAGAGGGAGGGCCTGGATGCAGGCTCGTGGTCTGGGGAAGGGTCTGTTTCTCGTCTCCATTGGGCACTAGGGAGCTCAAGGTGCACTCAGGCTCAGCACAAAAACGTGTCCCCCAAAACACAGCTTTTCAGCCCCAAAGGATCTTTACTCGTTTGTTTAGAGATTTACTGTCTCACTCCTTTTGGACTGTGAGTTCCTTGAGGACAAGAGCTGTGTTTTATTCACAACCAATCCTCATTATTCATTCATTATTCATCAACAGAGCCTGACACCCAGTGGACCCTTAACAAGTATTTGTTGGCAGAGTAACTGACAAACTGACTTCTAAAATAGAATATTATTACCAATGGATGGGGACGAGTAAAAGAACAAATACGAAATGATCCTTTAGGCTATTTAAATTACTTTTTATAGAAGGCTACACTAAATTGCTTCAGGAAGTTCAGACAGTCGCTTTTAAATGGTTCTTCGTTTCTTCATCAATACCTTTGCTTTTAATCCCCAAGGGTTTATCAGGGAAAGGGAAGTATATTTTCACTGTCTACGTAGGGAGAGAATTCGGCACTCCAGTCTTCACTGTAAGGTGTTTGTCCATGGACACCAGACCCAACCCCTCTTTCTGCCGTCTGCCTAACCATCATCAGAGAGGAAATCGAATTTTCAGAGAGAGGAGACTCAGAGAGTTTTATGGGAGTCCGGTGTGGGGCGGTGGAAGTCTAAGAATTGAAATGTGGTAGAAAAGGGCGTCCTTTAATCTCTGATCAGATTCTCTTGTGAGAACACAATTTTCCTCTGTGCTTCTATCCCAAACAAAACAGCACAACAAACTTCTCCGACTGGAGCACAGCTCAGCGCCTCCAGCTCCTCCCTCCATTCTCCTCAGTGTGGCTTCTTTAGAAGTTAGTAATTAGTGCACTCACTTTTACATTTATTTCTTTTCTCAGCTTACTATTCTTCTCTATAAAATGCCACCTAAGCAACACCTTTAATTTTGTGCATAGTCAAAGTACATCACATTGCAAAGATTTGAAAGACCCGGGTTTCTGTCCCATTGTTGCAATTTGCTAGGTGGCCTTGTGGAAATCTCTCCCTTCCTCTGGAGTTCAATCTCTTCATTAGTAAGATGGGATATCACTGCCTGTGCCATCCATCCAGCATTACTGTGGTGGGGCCAGAACATGATAACGTACACTAAAGGGTTGCACAGTAAACAAATGCAAGGTATAATTCTCTTTGGTGCTTTCTGACTCTGCTCACCCTCTCACAGAGAGGGTAAATTTTCCTATATGAGTTGAATATGTCCACCTGGAAGGAAACCTTTGTATAAAGGTGCGTGTGAAAAATATTTTGAACTACTGAAGAGGAGAAAAATAATTGGACCTCTCCAATGAAAATAATTTGCATAAGAAATTGTTCTTTTAGCAGTTTCTCGGAAATCCACAGGATGTTCAACCAGAAGACCTTTCTTTGTAGTCTAAAAGTCTACTGATTTTAAAGGACAGGAGTCTAGAGCAAAAGTTACTTGGTAGGGAGAATAAAAAAACTACATCAAAACAAAAAAAGCAATATATATATATATATATGTGTGTGTGTGTGTGTGAATAACAGTCTTGCAGGTAGAGATATTCAAAACTAGTGAATCAGTAAAGATTTACTGAGAGATCGACATGGTCCAGGAAATGTTCAAGGCCGTGGGGACACAGAGAGGAAGAAAGTACAGTTCTCCCCCCAGGGGCTTCTCTAGCTTCTATGTTTCCTGAGGGACACAGAAAAGCAAATGTGTCATTACAATGCAGCGGGGCGTGTCCTGCAGTGAGGCCTTTGTGAACATTGGAGCACAGCCTATGTCAGGCTTGTATTTGCATAACTATGTGGCTGTCGTGGGGAAAAAGACCTAGGTACAGATTTTCATGTAATTTTAATATCTTTCAGTGATTCTGAGAAAAACAGGGAGGAGGGACGATGCAGAAAGCTATGCAGAGTGAGACGTTTTTCTAACAAACTCAAATAGGGCAAGGCTGTGTCCCTGGGGACTGACTGAGCAACATCTCCGCACACGAGGTGGGGAGACCTGCCCTATTTTCCTTATGACCATGACTCAGGAGGATAATGGCCACTCTGCTATGGGTTTGGAAGACCAAACTTGAGAATTGTCAGCAAAAACAAACTGCAAAGCAGCAGTACTAAATGTGGCCCATTTTCTCGCCTCTCCTGTTTCAACACCCAGGCCAGCTTTTCTGGAATGAGAGCCCTAGAAGATTTAGAAGAGCAGTAAGAAAAGTTCAGTTACAGACAAGTATTGACCCCGCGGTGAGAGGTCCCCTAGTTAGCCTCAGTGTTCTTATTTTAGCTCTTTCTCTAGATCTCTTCATCCCCTGAAGGAATGGCTGCCAAATTCAGGTGGTTCTTTTTAAAGTGAGAGGCATTTTCTGCGCGTGAGCGCTGTGTGGTCTCTGAAGTCCGGTGACCTCGCTTTGTCGAGGAGGCAGGCTCCTCCTTCGTGAAGCACCTTCAGTGTGTGATGATGCCACTCACTGGGCAGATAGAGAAGGTGGGAGGAACTAGCTCCCTTCACTTTAGAGCATGGAATTCCAATCCAGTGTCATGATTCCAAATGGGGTGTCTACGTCCCGAGTATGTGCGTGTCTGCATTATCCAAGCGCAGATGTGGCAATTGTCCAGCCACTCTGATCCGTTTAAGCTCTGCTGGATAATAGAAGCCCAAGGACTGGACACATTTGATCTAACGAGTCTACAATATATCCTACAAAAGCTTGTTTGGGTGGCTGTCATACCAAATAATGGCCAAGTTCACACACCATGCTGGGCTGTAACAGATGTCCTAGAACCTTCCTTATCCCACTCATGTGGAACTTTCATGAACACTTCATGATCTTGTGTGACATTGTGATTCAAAACACTTTATATAATTTTGTTTAATTTCTTAATTTCTCAGCATTCGCACAAGTGAGGCTACATAAAAATTCTGTAAATACGTCAAATTTCCAGTTGGGTTGAATTTCTTTCCCATATGATTCAAAATAATTTCGTTGCACTAGTTTACCTATTTTATCTGTGTCAGATATGCCAGAAGGGAGTCTCACCATGTTCATTTTTAGTATCTGCTCCTGTTCAACTCAAAATAAACCCTCCTCTTCCCCAGGTGAACCTGAGGCACTCTGCTGCTAATATTAGAAGTGAATGACATCAGTACGGGGGCACAGGAAGCTTAGCTTTGTCAGTCAAATTTTGGAAATCCTAAATCTTTAAGCTTCAGTAAAGAGTTGTCTGGAGAAGGGATATAGCTTCTTGAGAAGTCAGAGGTTGTGTTTCTCTTTTCTTGCTGAAGGTAGGAGTGTCCCCTCAGTGAATACACGGCTGAATTTATTTAAGGACAATGGTTAGTTCCATGGCAGAGGCATTAAATATAATTCCTAGTGTCATTTTGTGAAGCATCCATCAGGCTCTTTTTGATTTTAAGGCAAAAATAGAGTGGTGAGAACTGAAACTAGGCATTACTTAGGCACAGTCTTACATGCCATCTGATGCTTACGGGTCCTTTAAAAATCAAAGACGCTAAGAGCAGATTAGCAGCACAAACGCGTTGTTTTAAATTGCTCACTTCTGAATATGTGTGTCTTAGATATTATTCACAGTTGTAAAGTGCTTGGAAGAGGGGAATAGCTAGCTAAAATATCTACCTTGCATTTGACCAAGAAAGAAGCATATTGTATGGGACAAAATCCCTTATTTAAAGGTTGGCACAACAGGGATGAGCTGAAAGCATATATAAGCGGCTCCAGGGGCCATGTCAGGCTGGCAGAAACAAGTTTTGTTTGACCCGGTTTTCAGGTGCTCAGATCATTACGTCATCTGCTGCCTCACTCTATTGGAAGATCTTTCTGATCCCTCTAAATTACAGCCTGCTGGTGTGTGTATTACCTGGAAGTTCCTAGTCAAACGTGGGGTTTGGGATTTTTTTTTTTTTTTTAAAGAGAAAGACACTTTTAACGTTTCTTGAAAAATCAAGAGCAGAAGGCATGTTCCTTTGTCAGCCATCTGGTTGTGATGGTTGCATGAGAACAACCATTTTGACAGCCATGAAGGTGACTACAAATGGTAATAACAAACAGTTTATATGAGGGCACTGTTCATCACTGTTGATAAGTGAATAATGACTCATTTGGAAACCACCAGGCACATAAATGATTCAGCCACGCATTTTGATGACAGACATTGACAAGTGGCACAATGAAACTTTGTTTCATTCATATAAGTAGCAACAAAGTAGAATGAGATTCTTTCAGATTCTTTGATTTAAAGGTTTAAATCATTTGTCATTTGTGAATTCCAACTAGGTTCTTAGTCATTTTCTTTGGCCATATAAAATTACCTGTTATCTGTATCATTCTAGAAAAGGCTAGAGAAGTATGGCAAAAAGAGACTTCCCTGTAATTAATTAGTTCAATAGAGATGTGCGTTTCAACTACATACAAGGTCTTGTATTAGGGTGTGGGGATGGGCTGAGTAGTACGCAGTTGCTGTTCTCATGGAGCTTACATCACCGAGGGGGAAACAGATGTTAGTGTATTAATTATTTGGTTATGATACTAAATAAAAAAACAGCATGCCTGAATGTAAAATTGGCATGTTGGGGAAGCTGACCTGGTCTGGACAGTTAGGAAAAGCTTCCCGAGGGAAGCGGCACTTAAACTGAGATCCAAAGGAGGAGTAGGGAGGAAGGGAACGCAAACAGGGTGATGGGCATCCCAGCAGCGTGAGCGGCAGGTGCGGAGGCTCAGAGGCTGGAGGCGGCCCTGGCGGCTGAAGACCTGAAGTAGGGGCAGTGGAAGAGGAGAGAGCAGAGTGACCCCAGGGGAGGCTGGA